CCCCCCCCCCCGGGACATCCCCTTTTGCAGGGAACCTCTCCCAGGCCCTTCCCAGTGGGATACAGACCCCCCCAGCCAGTTCTCCCGGGGGATTGGAGGCTCCTACCCCATTCCCAAGGGATCTGGGGTGGGATTGGAGTGGAACTGGGGCTGGGACCCCCAACTTGATGCCCCCAATAAAGTGGATCTGCCCCTGGATCACTCCGGGGGTGTCTGTGGGGGGGGATCCTGGTGGGATTTGGGGATCAGCAGGGATGGGGGGAGACAGGGGCTGCTCCCCAGGCTGTTCCCAGCAGGATTTATACCCGGGATTGTTCCCTTGGGATCACCATCCAATTTTCCCAACACCTGGGATGGCCCCGGGGCTGCTTTTTCCCACTTATTTGTTTAGGATGTCCCCAAACCCCGGGAAAGAAGATCCAAGGATTCAGCCCTACCTTATTTGGGGCCCCTGGGTGTGTGTGGGGTCCCATATCCTTGTATCCCCCCCAATTTTCCAGCATCCACGGACAGGGGCTGCTCCTCCCAGGCTGTTCCCAGCAGGATTTATACCCGGGATTGTTCCCTTGGGATCACCATCCAGTTTTCCAATACCTGGGATGGCCCTGGGGCTGCTTTTTCCCACTTATTTGTTTAGGATGTCCCAAAACCCCGGGAAAACAGATCCAAGGATTCAGCCCTACCTTGTTTGGGGCCCCTGGGTGTGTGGGGGGGGTCCCATATCCCTGTATCCCTGTACATATCCTTGTATCCCAACAATTTTCCAGTATCCAGGTACAGTCCCCAGGCTGCTTTTTCCCGCTTCTTTTCCCCCAAAAAACCTCAAGGAAACAAATCCAAGGATCCAACTCTACCTTTATTGCCCGGTTGGGGACCCCCGGGAGGGGATTCCCGGCAGCAGGAGGGAGAGGGAGGGAGGGGGGAAGGCACAGCAACGGCGACAATTCCCGCTTGGAATGGGGCTGGAAGGGCTGCGGAGCTCCGGGATCTCCCGGCTACTCTCTGCGGGATGAAGGACAGGATGGGGTGAGCCCGGTGTGACCCCCTAAATCCCGTTTTTTGGGGTTTTTAGGGGGTTCCCCGGGGCTCACATGGCGTTCTCCTTGTAGTGCCGGAGCGCCTGCTCGGCCACCATCTCCATGAATCTGGGATCATCCCACGGGATGTGCCCAGGAACCGTCAGCGCCAGCGGCTCCGAGTCGAAGAGCTGCACGGTCACCTGAGTGTCCGGGGGGGCCGAGGGATCCGAGGGGTTCGGGGCCTTGGACAGAACCTG